TCGTCGCAAGCCCTGCCTTGTGAACACGGCTGCGGGGCTCACCATCTTGCTCACCAGTTCACAGTTCACTTCAGAAACTGGGTGCTGACTCTTGACAGGAATTAATGTTTTGGTTTCTTAAAATTTATTGTTATTTTTTTAAAAAATTCATTTATTGTAGCAGTAGGGATTAACCATGGGCCTTGCTCGTATTAGTCAGACGTTATCCCACCGAGCTACCCTTTTAGAATTGTACTGAAGACATGGTTTCGTTAGGCTGCCCAGACTCGCTGTCTGTCCTGCGTCAGCCTCTGTGGGAGTCAGGGTTGTCTCTGTCCTTTCTATAATAGGAGGGGCATGCTGACTGGCTCTGCGGCGTGCTGGCCACGCCAGGAAGAGGCTCAGTGGACAGCATGTTACAGACCCGGGGGTATCTTGATTGTAAGAGAAAGTCCTAGACAATAGAATACTTAATCTGAATTCTTTTTATAGTCACTCGATTCACAGAATGTTCAGAGCTTCAAGTTTTAGGGAATTTAGGTTAATATTTAAAGTTCCTAAAATTGTTTTTCCAGATGCCTATGTGAACAAACTTCCTTTTTCCTTTTCCTCCTGCCCGTTGTTACACAATGGCTGCACCTTTTGTGTGCTCGTGGAGAGCCTGCACACTGCAGGGCCACCGTGGTGTCCTAGCTGTGGGGTAGAGCCACCTGTAGGACATGGGCCATGTCTAGCAGATTGCAGGCCCGTGTGCCCAAGCCAGCAGCAGGCTTATTCGGGTATCACGTCCCAAGGGAACTCGGCTTGCACCGTGCGATCCTGGCTATGAGCAGTGAGTGGCCTTACCTCAAGTGTGGTCTGAGGTGCAGATGTGCAGGGAACAGGCAGCAGCTGGGCCTGGATGGAGAGAAGCAGTCATCTGCAGAGTTGCGTGGGATATAAGGCCAGTGGGGCGGGCCTACTCCCTTGGACAGGAAGGAGTCTGTTGTGCACTTCTCAGAGTGATGGTCTTGTTTTTCTAGTACGGGGGCGTTGAACCCAGAGCTTTGGGACTGAGCTATTTCTCCAGCCCTTTTTTATTTTTATTTTGAGACAAGGTCTGACTAAGTTGATCAGGCTGGGCTCAAGCTTATAATATTCCTGCCTCAGCCTCCCTAAGTGCGGGGATTCCAGGTGTGTACCACCACATCCAGACGCGAGGATCTTATTTTTAAGCAACTTCCTACTCAAGGAAAGAGAGTTGCTGCTAATTCAAGGCCGACGGAGGCCGTGTCTACCAGTGTGGCGACTGGGCTAGAGATCTCAAGCGCCTTTAGGGCGGAGATTGTTTTTAGTAGAGAATCAGACTCGGGAGTGATGGAGAATACCAGCAGTGGAATGAATCCCGAACTCAGGTAGTGAGGACCACTAGAATGGCAGTCGTCAAGGAGCATCCTGATTGTGTGTCTCCTGTGTTCCATGTGTGAGGTTTCTTCTGCACATAGGGAAGGGTGCCAGAGCGCTTTCTGACAGGGTGCTAGGGCTTGAGAGGAGCGGGTGGGCACCTTTGCTGGCTAGCGTGTCAGTGACCTTTTCACGCCTCTCTCCTGTCGTTCTTGAAGTGTCTGTGTGGAGGTCCTGTTGTTTGCAGTTGCTGAACAGAACACTAGAGGGTGCTACAAGATTTGAATTGAGACTGAAGCTGCTTTTTTTCTGCCTTGTTCCTCAAATCAGCAAACAGAAGCCGGTGTGGGACCAGGGAAGGGGTGGTCTAGAAACAGTGGCTGTCTGACCTGTGTACACTTTCTCCGAGTAAGCGCCGGAAAGAAAGCTTTTTATAGCTGGCTTAAGTTTGGATTGTTCTTTGGCCCCCAGGGCTGGAGCATTGCAACCGCTGTTATTCAGGCTGTTGCAGGCAGCAGCTGCTTAAGAGCACTAGGAGGCTCATTCCCAGGTGGCCTCACTCTGGCCAGACCTCTGGGTGGTGTTAGCTTTGTCAAAAGTGGTTTTTCCTGTAACTGAAACTGAGTCCAAAGTACTCTGTACTGTTTATGCTCAGGTTTTTGAGTTTGTTAGAACAACTGAGCCAAACATGGTGGTGCACACCTGTAATCCTAGCACTCTGGGAGGCTGAGGCAGGAGGATCACAGATTTGAGCCCAGCCTTGGGAACTGACTGACTTAGCAAGACCCTGTCTAAAAATAAAAAAGACCAGGAACCTATTTTAGGATTGAGACCCTGGGTTCAATCCTAGTACTACAATAACAAAAACAAAACCAGCTTGACCTAGAAGGGAGGTTTCAGACAGCTGTGCCTGGCCCAGGTTGGCTTCTTTCACTTCCCGCCTGTGTGTGTGCTGCACAGGAGCACATGCCCACCAGCCTGCTCTTGCTCCTGGGCATCGCCCCCCAGCCCGAGACTTTGCCCGTCTTACTGGCTGGAGACCTGAGGGTCCTTTTCTCACCCGGGTGGGCCTGCCCCTCCCAGAGCATGGCTCACTCTGCCGCCTGCGGCTGAGCCGACCATGCTGGCTCCCTCGGCCTTGGACACGTTGCTCCTCTTGCTGCCTTGTCACTGGGACACACACTTCTTGCCCTGCAGGCCCTGGTGTGCCTGTGGGAGAAGAAAACAGCTTGTGGGCCAAGAGGACCACAAGTCTGAGCGCACGATGTGCTGGTGTCATCTCAGTGCCCCACCAGCGTCTAGGATGAACCTGCCGAGCAAGCACAGCACAAGCCCACCCGCCAGGCCTGTCCTCTGCTGCTGTCCATTTCTTCTCGGCCTCCATTAGCCCTGGCCAGGCTGTGCAGCGTTTCTGCAGTGCCTTTCAGGCTGGACCCCGGGTCCCTCTTGGCACTGGCCTGTGAGCTGTGCTAGAGCAGGGCTGCCCACTGCTCAGCTGTCTGTGCCAGGGGCTCAGCAAGCGTCCTTCAGCCGTCAGCAGAAGGCAGTGCGTCATTTAACAAAGCCCCTCTGATAGGAAGGAAGCTAGTTTTAAGTCTTGGTGATTGCACGAAAACTGAATTATTAGACGTAGAAGCACTGGCAGATGAGTGGCTGCGATGCTGCTGTGGGATGTGTGCCAGTGCACTAGAGAGTTGGTGTGTGTTGGAGAACAAACAGGTTTGTGGGAACTGTCAGATACGTACTACTCTACAGGATGTGCCAGAAATGACAAACTGTTGTTGTGTGGCTCAGAGACCTCTATGAGTAGACGACCTTAAGCCTGTGGCAAAAAGCAGGTAGCTAAAACCTTAGCATAAAGGAATTTTTAAGTGGAACCTGCTGTATATTGGAGAAGAAGGTGTGCCCTCTGGATTTAGTTAGATCTAGGTTCACAGGTTGGTTCAATGATGTGGCCTCAGTTTTCTAGTCTGTGAAGTGAGGGTGATCATGGTGCCTCTTGGGAGGGCTGCACATCTGCACCTCTATGAGGAGTGTGGATGACGTTCCTAGTGTATCCCACACACACACGGGCCCCATCCTTCCTGTCTGTCACGTGTGTGGTTTGGGGGTTCAGCTCTGCCTGTTCATTCACCCAGGTGTGTACTCTTATATGAGCTTAGTCTAACACCACATTCCACTGGGTTCTCTTGAGCCCGTAGGGTTTTACTTTCTGTTTCAGGAGAGCTCTGTAAGAATTATTCCCTGTGCCTTCTCAGAAGAGGGAAGGAGGAAGCGGGGCGTGGTGGTGCACACCTATAATCCCAGCACTTGGGAGGCAAAGGCAGGAGGATTGCCGTGAGTTTGAGGCTGGTCAACCTGGGCTATTTAGTGAGTGCAAGGCCAGCCTGGATTACACAGTGAGACCCTGTCTCAAAAAAAGAAGCAATGAGTATTCGTGTTGATATTTGAGTTGTGCACGTTAATCTCTATGTTTGACTTGTGCGTAAGCCTGAGACCTGCAAGCACAAGTGCGTTAGGAAAGAAGGACTTTGATGGATGCTGATGTCAGAGTGTGCGTGTCTAGGGTTTCTCTCCCACTGTGGAGCTTAACCAGCAGGGAGCAGGTAGTGTGGCCACAGACTGGGCCCTGGCCATGCCGCCGCCACGCTGCAGGTCACAGGCATGAAGCGTTTCTGATGGTTATTTGTATGTATAAAGACGGCATTTAGAGCTGCCTTCTTTTATTTTTTTTATTTATTTTTTTTTTTTTTGGTTTTTCTCCGGTACCGGGAACCGAACTCACGACCTTGCGCATGCCAAGCAGGCGCTTTTGCCGCTGAGCTAAACCCCCAGCCCCTGCCTTCTTTTATTTATTTTTTTAATTTTAAAGAGAAAAAAAAATAAACTGAGTTTGGAAGCAGGTTAGTAGGGCAGTTACAATAGCTGATACATTACATGTTGTTGCCTTCCTGGTAGTTAATCAGAGTACAAGATATAGAGGTGATATGTTGTCTAAACGATATTCGAACCAAACATTCTTTTCAAGGTCAGAGCCTTCTTAAGACTGAAAAGAGCCCATGTCCAAGTGGGAATTTGAGGATGAAAAGCTTGCTTTCCATGAAGAAATTACAGTGTGTGGAGCAGTTACCACATTGGGTTTCTCATGGAAAAACACAGTAGTTAACAGGACACAGTGGTCCCCAAAGGACCATCTTACCGAGCAGCCGTCAAGCACCCCTTGATGTGGGGTGGGTGTCAGTGGCCAGGGGTCCAGAGAACGAGGCGCAGGGTCTGCGCAGAAATCCTTTTGTGCACAGTGTCCGAGGGAGCTGCTTGTCACCAGGACAGGCCCAACCGCCAGCGCTGCAGGGGAGAAGCCTGCTCTTTAATACCGGTACACTGGAGTTTGTTTCTAATTAAAATCAGCACTTCTTGTGTTTCCTACTTACGTAAATAAATGTTGGTGTTTTCGGGGAAATATTAGTTGAAAAGCCTTTTTATCATGGATGTATTTGATGTAGGGTTGAATGGATTTTTGAATGTGTGCTGTTTTTGAAGGGAGTTCTAATAGTCTCCCATCCAGAGCATTTTGTTGGATTTAAATGTTACTCACTGGATGTCATTAACTTCTTAAATATGTCTCTTCACTCTTTCAGAGTTACTGGAGAATGTAACGCTAATACATAAGCCAGTGTCATTGCAACCCCGGGGGCTGATCAATAAAGGAAACTGGTGCTACATTAATGCTGTATCCTTCTTACCTGCAGTCCCCAGGCCAGCTCGCCGCCGCGGTCGCCTCTTTGGGTGTACTTGGCTCGGTGCAGCTTCCACGAGGCCACTGGCCCCAATGTTGGCTCCAAAAGGCGTGGTTCATCACTTGTTCTGCCTAATTCGTAATGCACAGGGTTATTCCTGACCCGAGCGTCTCCAAGCCTGTGCAAAAGGAGGATTTTTTTACCTGAATGCCAGAATCGGGGCAGTTTATTCTCATGAGCATGGTCCCATTTAGTAGGGTGGAGTGGTCACGTGGGGCTGGAACTTCTGTTCTAACCAGTTTAGTGATGCTGGTTGCGTCAAGTTCTTAAACGTAACCCTGACCGCACAGCAGATCCTCACGCGGATGTTGTCGGGCAATGTCCCACCAGTTAACGGTTTGCTCCTTTTTGTGTGACTTTTCTAAGTAGTTCAGTCCCCTTGACCTTTGTAGGTTTTGTCTTTTCATTTTTTGAGACAGAGTTTCACTCTTCAATACTGGCTGGCCTTGTGCTTGCTAGATAGTGCAGGCTGGCCTAGAATTTGGATCCTCTTGCCTCAGCCCCTTCAGTGCTGGGGTCACAGCCACGTCCAGCTGAGTTTATCCGCTGAGTCAGATGTGCCTTGGGAGCTTGTGTTCCTTCACATTCCTTACCGCCGATGTTTAGACGCTGCAGGCCTTGGTCGCTTGCCCTCCGATGTACCACCTCATGAAGTTCATTCCTCTGTACTCCAAGGTGCAGAGGCCTTGCACGTCGACACCTATGATAGATAGCTTGTAAGTAAGACGCTCAGTGCATGTGGAGGGTGGGCTTTCCCTCTGAGAATTAGAATTGGAATGGTTGGAAGTTCTCGACTTCCTACAAATGAGTTCTATGGTTCTTTTAAAGAAATGCGTTGTTCATGGTTTTATATGAGAGTTAACAGAAATGAAATTGAAACCGTTTGAGTTCTCTAGATATAGTAGAAAACATTGTAGTGTTTATTGACTTAAAATATACCAAAAGTGTGCGTAGACAGGCATAGGAATTCACAAGTCATGACAGTGTTGGTTACCTCCCATCTGCTGAGTTCATTGTAATTAATACTCTGCTTGGCCGGCAGGGGATGTCAGGGAAAGTAGGTCTTCTCTAAAATGTCCTGCTTCCCTTTGCCCCCGCATTTAGTGTTCGGCTAATGAACGAGTTCACCAACATGCCTGTGCCGCCGAAGCCCCGCCAAGGTGAGTGGAAACGGGCACTTCTGCTGCCCTGCATGGTGGGAGTTAGAGTCGCTAGCTGTCACCGAGTTTGGTGAATTCAGTCTTGTTAGTGACCACACTTGTGCTGTGGGCTTCCGGGGGTCAGCGGGTGGAGGTGTGGGGTGATTCTGCTGCCCCTTATGGTGTCCTTTTAGTTAGGAAACTCTGTGTCCTGTTTCTGCTGCAGCTCTTGGAGATAAAATCGTGAGGGACATCCGGCCCGGAGCTGCCTTTGAGCCCACGTACATTTACAGACTCCTGACCGTCATCAAGTCGAGCCTGTCTGAAAAGGTGTGGCCTGCTCTGACGGAGCTAACCAAAAGCACTATCTTTGCTTGCCTTTGACTGGTAGCTGTTGCCGGCATAGCGTCTGCGCTCTTGTCTCCAGTGCTGTCATGTGGTGGGTGTTTGGACTGACTCCAGGTTGATGGTGGATCCCTCATTTGGATGAACTGAGAGTGTGACAGTCCTCGTGACTGGACCTCGCTCGTGTGACTTTCACTGTACACCACATCCTGCTCTAAGCACTGACCCTGTGAGCAAAGTATGGTTCCTGTGGCCTTGTTAGAGTCCCCAGAGGTGAGGTCATCATCCAGGTCACGGAGCTCATCAGGGGCCCAGCCCCTTCCTGTGCTGTGGAGCAGAGCGTCCCGGGTCGGTGTCTGGAGAGCTGTTGTGCTCAGCGTGCTGCCGCAGCAGCTGTTAGGTATCCTCACCTTTTTCCTTAGGTTTTGCCCACACACCTTGCTGCCAGAGGCATGGCACTGGCAAGCAGGGACTGTGGTGTGGGGCATGTCACCCTGAGCACAGTTGCCGGGGCGCTGCTTGCTCTCTTCTCTGGGGTGGGCATTGAGTCGGTGCAGACGGTTGAAGTGCTGCATGGGATCCGGTCAGAAAGGTAGAGCGTGGAGGAAGTGCCACTTAAGTGAAATCCGTGGAAACTGCACGCTTCAGAGAAGGACAAGGCAGCGTTGCAGGACACTGCAAGGCACTGCCAAGAGTATAAGCCTTTTAAAGGCTCCTGACACAGTTTTTGGTGTTGACTTGGATTTGTTGCCCTGGTAACAGGAGATGTGCAGTGTTTGTTAGGGACACAGCAATGTGGTAAAGCTACCCTCCTCCCTCAAGGCACTTACCTCACACGGCTGGAGCTTGGCGCAGGGCCACGAGCACAGAGGACAGATGTGCACGCACAAGCAGGACAAAAGCTCCACTTCAGGGAGGGCTTCCTGAGGCTGAGCTCTCTAGGGTTGTGCTCCAAAGCCACGCTGAGAAGCATCTTTTTGAAGTGACCTTTAACATGTTGAGGTCCCCAAGACCATCCTCAGGTTTGTGATTCACTGGCAAGACTCAGACCTCCAGCTGGTACACCTGTGGTTATGGGTTTTTACGACACAGTGATCCAGAGCAAATCAGGACAGGGAAACCCACATGGCGAAGTCTGGAGGGCTCCCTGGGCTCTTCCCTTAGAGTTGTCCGGCAGCACGCATCTCCCCAGCATCATGTGTGATAGCAGGCATGCGGTGCGGCCTCTCGGGGACACGCTGGATTAGAGTCCTGGGAGCAGATCCACCCCTGCCTGGCTGGAGCTTAACTTCCGAATGTGCAGAAGGAAGACAAGTCTTCAGCCAAAACCACATTGCTTGTGCAGAGTGTAGGCTCAGTTCCTTATCAGTGCATGGAATGGTGGGAATCTTTTAAAATCCAAATTCCCAGACGTGAGCCGTGGCCAACTCGGTAAGTGGGCCACTGCTGGGAGAGTGGCCCCGGCTCACCGTGTGCCCACTGTACCCTGCTCACTCTACCTGGCTGTCCACGGCCGGTCCCTGTGGAGAGAGCAGTCTGCCCAGAGGCCTGGAGCAGAGAGTGTGTGGACCCTTGGGACAGGCAGGTGTGCAGCAGGAACGCAATGTGAACCAATCCCTATGAGTCAGAGTCACGCAGGCCATTGAGGGAGGGGTTAGAGAGCTGACGTGTGACTCCGTTTGTGGCTGTGTGTGGGGTGCGTGTGTAACACAGCTGCCTGCGTCCATCCAGCTTCTCCACATGCCCCACTCCTCTCCCAGGAGCCACACGGGGTTGCCAGTTCACGGCTGCTCTGGGTGTGTGCAGCAAGGGCTCTCGGTCTTCTGTGTCAGTGAAACAGAAAAGCAATTGTTAAATAACCTTACTAGTATCAGAAAGTCATTGACAGGTATACATGTATATATATTAGGGAAAATGCAAAACACAGGAAAATATAAAAAAGGAAATGTAAGTTCCCAGAAGTGCTAGAACTAATCCACCGCCCCCAACTCAGCAGTCTGAAGAACCCTCCTGTCAGTTTTAGAACTGCTTTACTTGTAGCCCTGAGTCTCAGCGGAGGGGGAAGTGCCGTGGGTCCCGCTGGCCTGGGCCAGCAGTCCGCTCAATCAGTGCCATCGCTTTTCCGCTTGCCAGGGTCGACAGGAAGACGCTGAGGAGTACCTGGGCTTCATCCTGAACGGACTGCACGAGGAGATGCTGAGCCTGAAGAAGCTCCTCTCGCCAGACAGTGAAAGTAGGTTCACCTCCTGCGCGCTGCGTCCAGCCAGCTTCCCAAGTCTTGGTTTAAACAGAGGTTGCAGCTTGTTCTTATATGAAGTTGCTTCTCCCCTTCCAGCCCTCATCTCTTCCCATCAGAAGTTTTCCTTTCCTTCCTAACACCAGTTGTGTTGACATTGCCCTTTCTATACCCTTAATAATATTCTGTTTAGATAAGCTGAAATTTATCCAGGACCTCGGCTGTTGATTCCTTTAACTTTAGTTCAGAAATGATCACCCATCCAGAAAAACAGAAAGACTAGTTTGTGGAATCCCCACATGACTGCGGGAGTCTGCATTACTAACGTACCCTTATCATTCCTCTGCACACACACACACCCACACACACACACACCCACACACACACACACCCACACACACACACACAGCATGTTTACATTTTCCCTGGGTGATTCAGAGTTAAAGTTAAGCTGCAGGTGAGTTTAGCCCAACCCTCAGTGCTAAAGCATGTGCCCCGCGCCCCCAAGAATAGGGGTCTTGCCCACAGGACCACAGCCCCCAATCTAACACAGAGGGAACGACGCATTTCTCCCTGCTTTCCAGGGCATCTTCGCAGTCCCCGCCTGTTCCGAGGCCTTTCCCAGTAGTTGAAGCAGCCAGAGGCCTGTGCCCTTGCTGCATGGCCACTGTGACTCGGTGTAAACACACCGCGAGTCCGGCTGGTGCCCTGCGAGCCTGGTTGGTTTGCGCGTCGATGTTCTCGTCAGTGGGTGCCTGAGCAGGCCCTTTCGTTGCAGAACTCACGGTTTCCAATGGGCCCAGAAGCCCCTTGGCCAACGACGACGAGCAGGAAGAGCAAGGTGAAGGCAGCGAGGAGGAGTGGGAGCAAGTGGGGCCTAGGAACAAGACGTCGGTCACCCGCCAGGCGGATTTCGTCCAGACTCCAATCACTGGCATTTTTGGCGGGCACATCAGGTTCATGATTTTCTGGAATAATGTAGTGTTTGCCTGTGCTACGTTTTGCCATTTTGCTGGCATGGGAGGTGTGAGCACTATCCTGCCACCTTGTGCCTGGGCATCGTTGCCTGCTGTCTGCTGGTCCTCCCTGCTGTTCACTGGGACTGCCTCTGGGCTCTGTCCCCAGGGCTCCGTGGGCCACAGCGTCCCCCGCTCACTGCTGCGCGGTAAGGGCAGAGCAGGCTCACTGAACTGTTAAGGGAAATGCATGCACCCACTGGGGACGTGTCGTGTGTTTCCATAACTTTGAAGTTCACAAGGTGAAACTGGACACAGACACTCAGGTGGTTTCCTCAGAGCAGCAGGCAGCACGGCCATTATCTCACATAATTGCCCCCTCTGTGGCAGCAAGAATAACCATAGTCTGCTCGCTTAGCAGAACTCCTGCAGCCCGCGCCTGGCAGTCCTTTCTCCAGATGGCTTACCGGATATGTGAGCCACTCCCTCCCCTCATCAGCACCTCGAATTTCCTTGCCCGCCCCTGCCCCAGGGGTCAGTTTTATTTTCTTTGTACTCTTGGCTTTTTGAAAAGATTGCATATGTGGTATGCGCATATTGTTTTTCTGTGTTTAGCCTATTTCACTTGTCTTAATGTCCCCTAGCTCTACCCACCTTGTGATAATGGCAGGATCTCCTTTTGTAAAGCTGAATGCTACCCCGTGGTACCTAGGTACAAACCCTCAGCCCTGTCTCACTGGCACCCTGGCGCTTCTGTGGAGCTGCGTGGTCGGGGGACTCAGCAGACGTGGCCCTGGGATGTGTGGTGTGGGCAGGGAGAGCAGCGGGCAGGTGGGTGAGCAGCTGTGAGAGGTGACTGCCCTTGGCTCCACAGACTAGCAGCCCGGTGTGTGGACTGCTGGCACACCCCCTTGGGGAGGCAGAGATGAGGGGACGGCATGAAGGAGCAGACAAGGCCACCGTTTATTTCCATGGGGGGAGTGTCCACAGATGGCCACCGTGCCGAGAGACTTCAAATCTCCTAGCTAGGAGAAGTACCAGGGTCCACGCTGGACAAATTGGTGGCCTTGAATGGCCTACATGGGTGCTGGCCCCAGCTACCGAGTGGCCTCTGTGCCAGAGTTGGTTGTTCCTTTATGAGAAAATGGTGAAGCAGCCAGATGTGTTGATGCATGCTGGTAATTCCAGCACTCTAGAAGACCGAGACAGGAGTATTGCAAGCTCAAGCCCAGCCTGGGCAACGCAGTGACTTAGTGAGAGCTGGTCTCAAATTTAAAAGCTGATGTTCCCCTACCCCAAGTAAAGCAGAGGGAAGGAATTCTTACAATTTGGGCTCTTCTTTTTAAGCTGTCACTAAGCACGAATCTTTATGCAGACCAGTTGAGATTCTCCTATAAAATTCAGGGTTCCCAGGAAGGCCAGGCAGAGGGCTGCTTCTTACTTCTTCCACAGCCCCTTACTGGTGTCCCCACTGCTGCACGTGGCCCCAGACAGCTACTGCCCCAAAGTCTGTGTGCTCAGTAGTTTGGCTGTGCTGAGCTCCCAGGCGGAGACACCTGTGGGGAGGCCTGGCACCTGCACCCGCACCCGCACCCGCACCTGCACCCGCACCTGCGGGGCTGTCCACACCACTGCACTCTGCTTGCAGATGAGGCCACTCGGGCCCCAAAATTGAGCTCTGCTGAGCTCCTGCAGTGTTTTTGTTTGAGGCTAAACGAGATGTGCCCCACACACACTTTTTTACTTGGAACACTTAGAAAAAGAAAAATGAAAAGCCAGCTAAGAAAACAAGGTTGAGCTGGCACCCTTCTTGGAAGTGGCGGTCTTTCTTCCTGGAAGGCTGGCTTGTTTTTTATTATCCACACTCTGTACCCCCATGTGTCACTTTCATAGGGGGACATGCCATGCAGAGTGCCCTGTGTACCATGCGGTTTCTTGTGTTCTTTAGAATAGGCCATGATCCTTTGAAACGAAAAGTGTCAGCAGTTTGAGGCCCTGGCAAGATGGTCACATTTATTAACTGGTGCATTAAATCATAGTGAGGCATGGCGGTGCCAGAATTTGGAGGATGAAATGTTTTCTTCCAGAGCGCCCAAGTAAGGAAAATCTGTCAGTGGCAGCTGTAGTTGATAGTACTGGGGAGGTCGTGTTCAGCAGGTATTTTCCAATTCAGTGTATTTTTGGCTTTCCCGTTGTCTCCGGTCTTCTGAAAGTGATGCTGAATAATCCGATTTTCAGTATGTATTCTGTGTCTGTTGGTTAATCCTAAGTGAAAGTAGCAAGGAGTGTGCTCTTACATTGTTTTTGCTCTCAATTCCTAGGTCGGTGGTTTACCAGCAGAGTTCAAAAGAATCTGCCACTCTGCAGCCCTTTTTCACGCTGCAGCTGGATATCCAGTCCGACAAGATACGCACTGTCCAGGATGCGCTCGAGAGCTTGGTGGCCAGAGAATCTGTCCAGGGTTACACCACAAAAACCAAACAAGAGGTACGGCCCCAGCTGAACCGGAGCTTTGATCCTGAGCCATTCTGGGTAAATAGGAAGAACACAGAATTAGGGCTGAGGGGAAATGTCTTTCAGTTCTGCCACTCCAAGCAGTTACTGATTTGTTTGGACTGAGCATTTGTAGATTAGCATGACATGGCTAGAGCAGATGACCCAGCCGGCATTCACTGTCAGTCACGGAACATGAGCCCCTGGGCTCCTGGGTCAGTGACTTTGAGCAGGCGTTTCAGTTTCTGGCAGTCTAATCATGGTTTCACGAAGTCAGCATCGCCCTGAAGCAGGGCTGAGTAGCTTGTTTGTATTCACGGTATGCGACAGTTTATTAAGATTAGTTAGGGCCTCTCAACACATCTGCTTTGCATTGGATTATAGATCTTCAAGGGCATGGAGGATAGAAAGTCGTTGTTCAGATGCTGTTCGCTCTTTGTTTGATCTGAAAAGGAAGACATCTGCGTCTTATTCCTAAGTTAAAAGTAGTGGATTAGAGCTCAGGTTGCGACCAGCACCCAGGAGGGTGTTGGGTGTTCTGCCCTGTGAGCCCGTGCTGCAGAGGTTGTCCTCCCTGTCCTGGGCCATGGCAGGGGGCCCAGTGTGCTGGGAGACAAGTGCTTTGCTGTGGAACTGTGTGAGCAGTGCAGTGGCCCGGCCACGGCCGGGCTGCCTGTCCTGTTCTGTGGCTCGTGCCGAACGCAGGAGAGCAGTGGGGTCCTGGGGCCTGTCTGTGGCCGGCTCCCTCGCTCTAGGCTGGCTGAACTGTTCTCTGCAGGTCGGGCCTAGCCCTGCACCTTGTGTTGACGCGCTTCTGATGGCACTGGCGCCAGGAAGCTAGCAGCATGGCAGTGAGCAGGCCGAGAAGGGTCTGGCAGGAGGTCAGGCGGCAGTTAGCTTTGTGTCTGGCTCTGGGTGACTGTCAGTTTGGCTCGCCTGTGGCAGCGGTGACCCTCCAGAGACAGATCGCTGTCCCTGGCGCCTTTGTGCCCTCCTCACACTCTGTGAGCCAGCTGCGGCAGTCTTGGGCCACTTGTCCTGCTGGCAGGTTCTCAGCCCTGCCCTGGATGGCCGGGAGGACCCTTTTTGGCTGTGTTTGTACTGCTGCCATTCAGCACTGAGCTGCTGGGGCTGCCTCAGGGTGGGGCGGAGGTCTGTGTGATTGTCCCACCTGCAGGCCTGGGGGCAGCTTCCCCAGGAGGGGGAAGAGGCGCTCACTGTTCCAGCTCTGTGTGCCTGCGGCTCTCAGACCAGGAGGTGGGCACCGGAGAACAGAGGTTCTAGAAAAGAGGCAAGGACGGCTTCTGGAAAAGGCGATAGCATATTTTCTTGGATATCACTTTAAAAATTTCCTTTTAAAAATACCAAACTAAATGTTACTGTGTTTGGTGGGAAAGTTCCTTCCTGTGGGAGCATGTGCAGGAAGGCCCACGGGATGTGTCCGAGCGTGGAAACTGTTGGCGTCCGCTGGGACTAGACTGGGCCTCACCGGGTTGGCCTGGAAGCCACCCGAGCGCACGTTTCCCCTGAGCCGCTGTGAACAGCTGCCCTTTCAGGCCCAGGTCTGTCTCAGCCCTGAACAGACCCTTGAGATAACTTGGTCCCGCCCTCGAGGGACCGGCAAGGGGACTGGCAAGGGGACCAGGTCCTGGTCTCTGGCGCCGCCTCTGTCAGCTCATAGGTTCTTGGTGGTTGTGGGGTACTCACTCGATGGGCATGAGGAGTTGTGAGGCAGTTTCTGCTCCTGGGGTTGGACCTACGGTCACGCAGGCCTGGGAGGGCATGGAGCTCATGAAACCCCCAGCACGGACTTCTGAGTCAGCCTTGCCAGCTGAACACAGAGTGCCTGGTCCCCCAAGGGTTTGCTGTCCTCAGCGTCTTGCTGTCTTTTGGATTGTTAAGTTTAAAAACTATTTCTATCAAAAGAATTCTCTTACATCATTAATGGGTTGGTTGTTTGGTTTTGCGATGGGGTCTTGCTCTGTAGCCCAGGCTGGCCTTGAATTCGTGGCAGTCCTCCTGCCTCAGCTTCCCAAGTGCTGGGATTACAGGTGTGCACCACCAGGCCTGGCCTGACATTACAAAGTATTAAGCAGAGAATAATACAGACACATTTTACTTCAATAAGCTTGGCTTTATTTAAAATCAGCATTCATTAGACCTATGAGAATACTTCGGGCATAATAAATTGATAACCCCAAATTGATGTAAAACCGGCAGGAGCACGCAGTAGCTTTGGGGTTATTTGAAATGTCTGACTGGAAACGCACACCGGCCTCAGTCCGTCAAGCCCGTGGAAGAGTGGGAGCACAGGCTGACACACACCTAGCTCAAGCTCCTGCTGAGTTGGCTTTTGCTGCTTACGCTGGCTTATCACTGAGACCCCGAGGCACAGCTTTCCGCTCAGAGCACGGTGACTCTCAGGCCAGGGCTGCCTGGACTGTGTGAGTCCCGCGTCCCTGCGCCGGGACGCGAGGATGAGCCCCGCTCCGGTCAGACAGGGAGATGTGTCCCCGTGTGCCGTGTGCCCAGGTCGAGGTCAGCCGGCGGGTGACTCTGGAGAAGCTGCCTCCTGTGCTCGTGCTGCACCTGAAGCGCTTCGTGTACGAGAAGACCGGCGGCTGCCAGAAGCTGGTGAAGAGCATCGACTACCCCGTGGACCTGGAGATCAGCAAGGGTGAGGCGCTGCCGCGGGGCTGGGCCCCGGACTCACTCTCCGCTTGGCTTTTTTCTTTTTCAATTTCTTGTCTTTGAGAGACTTTTATAATAATGTTAGCATGAAAATGGCTTTTTAACAATAGAAGTGAAAGTGACCAAACCCTATAATTTTGCTAGAATAGAAAAATAGAAGCTTTTGTCCATCAAGAAAGCATTATTTTCCATTCAGCAAGCAATTTCTGAATCAGTGGGAAGCACTTGTCCTAGACTAACTATGGACAGCTGTGCTAGGCAGCCTACTTAGACGGCAGTGGGAGTTTCTCCAGTTGCAGTGACACTTGGGTTAGATTTGTGGCACTTCGTCACCCACACGTGTCCATAGGGAACGGCGTCACAGTTTAAAGGAGGATGTGCTACAGTCGTCTCCTAAAGCATGATGCTCAGCGGCAGAGCTGTGCCCCTAGCCTACATGAGGCCCCGGGTCATCCCTCCCACTGCAAAGAACAAAATAAAAAGAGTAAATAAAAAACCCACACACAGTTTAAAGAAAGCTTTTTCTTGAAAGCTTCAGGATTGGTGAAAAGTGTACAGAGGTGAAGCTCAGCCAAGGGGAGTCAGAATGTCGCGGGTCCAGGGACAGAAGAGGCTGGTGACTTTCCTGGGCCACGCAGAGGAAGCAGCCTGCCCTCCGTCCCTCTGGCCGACCGCAAGGGCACGCTGTGTCTCCTTCCCGCCAGCAGTGCCCTGCTGGTTAGGCCTTTCCTCTGATTCATACGCGGCTCCAGCCTGCACCCCGGACACCCTGGCTGCGGCCTGTCTCGCATCTCTGCCCCTCAGCCTGAGGCTGTGCACAGCAGCATGGGGACCATCAGAGAGCGTGGTGTCGTGGGTGCCTGCTCCTTAGTATCTTCTGTCTCCGAAGCCCTGGTCCCGGCAGGTGGTCGCCGAGCTGCTCTGACCTGACTGCCGCCCCTCAGCTTGTGCGTCCTGTGCCTGGAGCTCTCCCTGTGGCACACACCTGCCCTGCACTTGTTTTCTTGCCTGTTCCATGTGTTTTTCTATGGGCTGCCACCTCATGCGGTGCGTGAAAAGAAAGATGACGTGTGTGGGGACAGAAGGACAGGAAGGAAGTGGAGTCTTGAGTCACTTCTGGGAATTCAGCCGCACGCACAGAGCACGGCTGAGACCAGACTCCAGGATGAGGTGTCTTCATTCTTAGGTTTCTGGGACTGTTTGGAGTTTGCAGCACTTTTCTCTTCTGTGTTTTAGAGTATCTGTTTCTCAGATGCTTCCAACGTGAGCACATTGGTCCTGCATCGGGTCTGCTGCAGACTGCATGTCACCTCACTGCACATGTCCTCATGGGTCCACCAGGGCATAAGGTGGCCATGAAGTCCTTCTGTAAATGGGACTTGTTGATGTTTTGTTTTTCAGAACTGCTTTCTCCAGGTGTTAAAAATAAGAATTTTAAATGCCACAGGACCTACAGGCTCTTTGCAGGTAAGTAAGTTTGTACAACACTGCTTCCTTCTTAAAGCCATAAGAAGGGTTTACGTCTCGGCACGGGCAAGCTGTGCGCCTTCACAGGAGACGGGCAGCCGTGTTGAGGCATGCCCCCAAAGCTTGTGAGTCAGGAGACAAGCTGGGGGTGCACTTCACTTGCACCTGAGTGTCCAGTGTTTCCCGGGCACCATCTGGCCCCGAGCTGGGCTGGCCTGAGGCCTCGCCAGAAGCGAATACACCTGCTGGAAGTCAGCACCTGAGTCAGCAACTTAGGCGCCCACAGGGTGACCTGTGGGTGCCCGCTGAGTTGGGAAAGTGCCTCCCAAGTCCGCGTCCCTGTGTCTCCGTGGCCCTTACCTCGTGGTGCCGTAAAGTGCAGGTGGTACTGGCTCCTCAGACGCCACATTCCCCGAAGTCAACCAGGAGGGCGAATGGCACACACTCATTGCCAGACAGGCAAATCCAAGGCCTCATTCCCCCTGGCCGAGAGCGTCCCACCACGCTGGATTTTCTTCCAGCCTTCTACCCATTTCCTTCCTGTCTTCTGTCCAGATAGCCCCAGTCATCTTAAAGCCATTGAGCCTTTATATCTCTGATTGTTGCCATCTGTGGCACTTTTGTTTTGCTTTTTTCTTCTTCTTTTTTTTTTTTTGGTACTGGGAATCGAACTCAGGACCTTGCGCTTGCCAGGCAGGCGCCTGTGCCGCTGAGCTATATCCCTGGCCCTTTGTTTGCTTTTCTGGCTGTGTCTCTTAGTTTTCTAACTTCTTCATGTCCTTTCATGTTGCCTCTCATGAGCCTGTTTATATTTAAAAACAAGCCTGCCACGTACGGCCCTTTCAGTGCCCATCTTGCTCCTGGTAGCACCCTGAGGCATGCAGCAGTGTCCTTTGTGAAAGGATCATCCAGGCACAAGAGGGAAAAGTCACGCTTCTGTGGCCTAAAGTGGCCGGCAGGGCTTTTAGGCCCCTGTCTGCCTTGGCTGCTGCTGGGGTCCTGGGAAGTCTTGGCCCCTGGCCAGTGGGTGCAGGCCCTGTGCCTCCTTGGAAGGTGCTGCCAGTCTCTTTTCCCTCCAGGCACTTTTCTCTTTTCACTTTACCCTCCTCGAAGGCAGCCAATCACAGCCCCTTCCCTTCCTCTTGAGCCCCAGGCAGGGTGGCAGAGGGGGCTTCTCTGTGCCTTCCCCTGCCGGAGTGGACTGCTCGGCTCTGCTTGGCTGCCCAAGGCCCTCCTCCCTCACCTGTGTGGCACAGTCCAGGCCAGGGCTGGGGAGTCCTCGTCTGTGGGCCCCAGGAGGAGTGCACACACTGCCCGCCTGCCCTCCTGCACCCTAATCTTCAGTCTTACCCTGGGCTGCTTAGAGTTCTCTGTGAAATGTGAGTAACGAAAGTACTTTTTAAAATGATTCTGATTGTGGGACTGAGGAAAATAATGTGCATTCTCAGAAGAGAAACGTGGAAAGTTTTCACAGACTGGTTCTCAGTTGTGGTCCTATGGGCTTGTGGGGGTGCGGGGGCACGGGGCATCTTGTCCCCAGGCTGCTCGGGAGAGGCTGGCATGCAAGGAGCGTGGTTCTGTCTCAGGAACAGAGCGCCAGCCCTGCAGTTCCTCACGGGCTGCCCACGTGGTCGCTTTGGTGCAGCGGTCCTCATCGCGGACCTGGCAATCAGGACAGAGCCGAGTGAACCTGGGTCTGAGGGGATGTCCTTGGTGCCCTTGGCTCCCTGTGACCAGCAGCACGGGGTGCGCTCTGACCCTCCTGTCGGCGCAGCCCTGGGTCCCGGTCAGTTCCTCTGTGCAGAGCTTGGAGTCTGGCCGGGGAATGGAACTGCCCTCTTGGCACACGCGCACCGTCCTGACGAGTGCTTCTGCCCTGTGCGCCCTGGGCTCCTGCATCGGCGGCACCCCTGACCAGACAGTCGTGCCACAGCCTATCTTCCTTGTCCGGACGCACACACATATGCTCGCGCGCACACACACACACATGTACACACACCACCAGTGTCCACCAGCGTGTGGCTCTGCCCCTGCCACAGAGGGGTGCAGCATTAAGCCTTGATCGGCATCCAGGAACACCTCATTGTAGGAAAAGAGGGATCCTTGGCGCTGCCTCCGCAGGGTCCCCCCACTCCTGCCCTGCACTGCTGTCCCCCTTCCCGTGCCCCTCCCGCAGGCTGCTCTCCAGCCCCCACCCACCTGGCCTGTGCCTGCCCTGCGGCGGGGCTGGAGAGCCCTTGGAGCCCTTCTCTTCCCCCATCCATCTGGCCTCGTGCATTGCCGAGAGCCGGGTCAGTCAGCAGAGGGGGCGGGAAGGGTTGCACCCGAGCCCTGGGCGGAGAGGCCCCTCCTCGGCTCCTTGCGCCTTCCCACCCACCTGGGCAGGTCGACTTGAGGCGGAACAGGTCGCCCGTACAGCCTGCCAGTCAGTCCTCCCTCAAGTGGCCAGAGCATTGGCTGTTCCATTCTCCACTGTAACTGACACCTTTATCTTTGTCCTGCACATGCTCAGAGTCTTTCGGATGGCGTAGCAGCACAGTACCCCATATCTCAGGGCAGGGCACAGCCGGGGGGCGGGGGGGCAGTGTATACGTGTGCGTGCATGTGTATTTCCACAGGGTGGCGCTGTGAGGGTGAGGCGTTTTCAGTGTTTTTTGTTTTGTTTTCAGTGTTAATGTGTGTGTGACTTATGTACTGAGTGTAAGATAAGGCATTTTACATAAATACACAATGTATGTACAAAGTGTGTACATAATACATATACATATGAATGCGTGCATACAAACCTCTCCATGAGTATGTTCATCTGTGTGAGCCCTGTCCATCTAATGAGCTTTGTTTACAGAGCGCCCACCGTGTCCTCCTGTGGCCACGCCTCTGCTCCCTGCCCCTGTGTAAGGCTCCCAGGCACGCGCTCACTCTCACCCCAGCGCTCTCTTGCAGTGGTCTACCATCACGGCAACAGCGCCACGGGCGGCCACTACACCACGGACGTCTTCCAGATCGGGCTCAACGGCTGGCTGCGCATTGACGACCAGACCGTCAGGGTGATTCAGCAGTACCAGGTGTTGAAGCCCGCCGCCGAGCGCACCGCCTACCTCCTGTATTACCGCCGGGTGGACCTGCTGTGAGCCCCGTGTGCCGCGAGTGTGTGCCTGACGCCGCTGTGTAAAGCTCCAGCTCACTGACTTCCCGCCTCTTTAGTGGCTCCTTAGAGAGAAACTGTCCCTTCTGCAAAAATGGGCTAGGATGGAAGGACGCCGGGGGATTTGTGTGCAGCACACTTGTGCTGACTTCTAACTTCCAAACCAGAATCATTTGGTTGAAACAGACTGTCGTTTGATTTTAAGAAAATACACAAAAACCCATAATTCTGACATAATAATCATAATTCTGATTCCTTCTAGAAGAAAGGGGAACTTGCATTTGATTTCCAGTCTAATTGCTTAGTAGAATAAATCTACACCAGCAACACTTGTAAATTTGTGAAAATGAATTTTATCTTTCCTTAAAGAATAAATTTTTTAAGCCATCACACTTTCCTCCCCTACCCTTTAGTTTTTGATAAATGATAAAAAATGAGCCAGTTATCAGAGAAGAAATAGTTCTTACTTCAAAAGAAAAATAAGTTGCTGGTTCCTAACGGGAAAAATACATTTTAATAATTGTGCGATGAGTCACTGCTTACATACACGTTGCAGATCAGATACTTGGGGTTAAACAATGTTAGTCTACGTAGATGGGTGACTGTAACTCTATTGCCATTAAAGATTTCAAATTGCTTTCATGCTTCTGTGTACACATAATGAAACACGGGCAAAGCACTGAAGATTGGTATTTCCTGACGTCTGCTCTCTTTAATTCTGCCATCTGCCCCTTCTAATGCTGCGTCCCTAATTGTACACAGTGATACCTAGGAGTATGAAGTTGTCACCCATCAATAAAATCACAAAGTTGGTTTAGAGCTGTGCGTGTTTCTTTACGTGTGAGTGCCCTTCCCGGTGACGGGTTCTCGGGCAGCGTTCCCTGCAGAGGCCCTGGCGGCCGAGCCAGGTGAGGGTGGCACACTGCACTGATCTGGGGGCAGAGCTCTTGATTCTTCAGCTAGCAGCAAAGCGAGGCTGCTCTCCTTTTTTCTCCTTCCATTGTTTCCCTACCTCAGCAGTTTCAGAATCTCCGGTGCGTGATTTCAGGCAAGGCCAAGCATCTTTTCAGGGCAGCTCTGGCCAGGAGGAGCTCTAGACGGATGGACGGACAGAGAGAAGGAAGCCTTTGGTGAGGGGGGCCCTGCGTGGACTCCCTGCTTCCACCTGGTCTCACTGCAGTTGGAGTTTTTTCCCCAGCTTTTCCTCTTACCATCTGGCATTCCTGATCAGCTTGTGCCGCTCTTGTGGGAAAAAAGCTTACTTTGTCAAATTGTAGTACTAACGTCATCTCCTTAGCCTCCTTACCCGATCATAACCCAGTTCTGGTTTGCTTGGCTGGATTACAGTCATATCATAATCAGCTTCTCGTTACAGTAACATACAGTTCCTATGGAGCATGGGGATTAGAAACCAAAGGAACCTTGGGGGAAGCAGCCCACACCCACAGTAACCCAGTCAGAGGTGCAGCAGAACCCTTTTCTGAAAGCACTGGGTTGAGTTCTGGATTGTGCGTCCCACCCTGACCATGGCCCTGCTCCTCCGCCGTGGCTTATCTGTTCTGAGTGTGCCCACCCCACCACTGTGGTCTTTTGCCCTTGACCGTGTGTGGTGGCTCTGTTACTGTGTGTCCCTCTCCGGAGCAGGACCGTCTGACCTGGGAACTGCCCCGATAGGAAGCTGATCGAGAGGGCTAGCAAAGGATCCAGTCATCGCATACAGCAACTGCTTTGAAATCTTACAACATGTGCTGTGTAATTAGATGAGAACATTTTCCCTCAGTTATCTTTTTTTTGTTGGTGATACTGGGAATCAAACTCACGGCCTTAAGCTTGCCAGGCAGGCGCTGTGTCACGGAGCTGTATTCCCAGCCCCACCTCAGATACTATTCATGGGCTGTGAGCTGCCGGAATACACGTTTGGTCAAGCTCAAAATAGGTTGAGAATGATTGGGGTATCCAGAGACTCCCCATTGTGGGGTCTCGGGGCTGCTTCGAGAGTGGGTGGAAAGGAGCCAGGCCCGTTGGGACAGGCCACCGTCTTGTGTGGTGTGTGGTGATCCTGTACCTGTTCCCAAGGCTGCCGTCCCCGCTGTGCTGTGCTCAACTTGTTCCAGCCACCCGAGAGGCAGCAAAGGATCTTTTCATGTGGTGCTAGTGAGGCGGCGTGCATGTCCCCTACTGTAATCAGTACCTCAGGCTGGGGCAGAACAAGACAAGTCTCACCGTCATGGAGGCTGAAGTCCAGTCCAGGAGTGCTGGCAAGTCTGTCCACGGAGGGCCTGTGTCCTGGCTGTCAGTGCCACTTCCTCTGCCCGTATGGGGCCATGAGCTCTGGTCTCCAAGTGGACAGGAATCCTTCTGCAATTCCCCGGCCCCCACCTGTGACCTCACCTACTGGAATAATCCCTGAGACCCCCCCTTGTAGAGGTTAGGGTATCACCATTATCAGTAAGGGGGGACGCTGTGTGTCCCTGGTGATCCCCACACCACTCAGCTTGAGATTGCGTGACAGGAGCTGTTCAATCTCGAACTGCCTGAGCGGGTGGGCACAGTGCCAGCTGCAGACGCGAGCAGAGCTCAGAGGGGCAGAATGTGCCAAACAGGCGCCAGCCCAGAACGAAAAACCACCAGCATTTGGGCCTTGAGGTGAAAATACAGGCCAGGGCTTGAGAGTTTTAGGAGATTCTGGTGAAACCTCCCCTTTCCTAGAGTTCTGGGTGAGTGGCAGCCTGTCACCCATCCTTGAGAATTTTAAACTCAAAACATTCATATGTTGTGCCAAAACATTTAGAATTTTTAAACTTTCCCCTCACTTTTGCTCATTTACACTTAGAACTTTGCCCACTGGCCGTGGTGTTAGCAGTTACAAGTGGGGTTTCTCTCACTAGCGCTTGAGTCTGTGTGAGCAGCGGTTCAGGCTGAGCACCGAAGACATGCCCCAGGGAGGGACGAGCCCTGAGCGAGGTCCCTGGGTCTCCCCACCCCCGGCCCAGAGGATGCGTGCACCTCTGCGGAGGATGGTGATTGCACTGGGCCGTCTGCATAGCCACAGCGCAGCCACCCGAGTGGCTCGGGGACAGTGTTATTCTCTGTGTGCTTAGTCATGCCAGTGTAGTTGACAGTACGGGCAGCATGCAATCGGCACAATCATTTTGTAATGTTTCCTTACTGACCTTTCTGCTTCCTGCACCATAGGTGGCTCGTACCGTCCCTGCTCCCTGGTTAGACAGCAGCCGCAGGTGCTTTTGTATTAACCAAATTAACCCCCGTAGCATTGCCCTGTTCGAGACTAATTTGCCTGGGCCAGTGATAAATGGGTGGTTGTCCCAAGGTGGCCGTGTCGGCCTGCTGGCTTGCTGACTGCCCTTTGGAAGTGTTCGGTCATCACAGGAAGGTGGTGGGGGAGCAGGGGGAGAACAGCTTTCTGCACTTCTCTGTTAACGTCCGGTTTCCTGAGCATCCCTGGACTGTGTAGCGTGCTTTTAGCCCTCCGTGTAACCAGGCCATGAGTTAGCAGCTAAATGGAAGGTCCTGTTTTTTCCTTCAAAGCACTCAGAAAATCATCAAGCAGACAGGCCACTTCCCTCTTGCTCCCTGGAAACTGCTTTTCTTTTTAATGTCATTCAACTTCGGGGCAGCCAGCGGTGATGGGAACAAACACTCCCCTTTTCTGATCTTTCCTTCTTATCCCAACCGGACGAGAAATGACGTGATTCTGATTCACACCTGTGGGTTTGTAGCAGCGTTTTAACTTTGGTTGCACTTGGTGCGGTCGTCTCGGCTGCACGCTGCAGTCCTCACGCGGGGTCATCTGCCCCGCTCTGGTGTGCTGACCCGGTGTGTTTCGAGTGGCCTCTCTCTGCAGACTGTCGGTGAGCGCAGGGAAGATTTACCTGGTCCTGGTTGCTGCACCGTTGACATGGGACCATGTTCTGACTCCAGTTCATAGAGTGATGTTTAGACATTTTCATGTAACATTTTTGTATCAACTCTTTCATAGGCTCCTGAGTGCATGTTTTTTCTTGTCATTTTGGGGATGTGTTGTTTGGTTTTTAGCGAGGAAATACTTTAGGGTAGCTTCATCCCCCCACCTGCCTCACACCAGCGCTTTGTGAAGAGCCTGAAACAACCCTGACACCACAGAGCACCCTCCTCGGTACCCATCCCCTCCGGACAGGCGGCGCTGCTCCCTGACCCTGGGGTCCTCTGTGGGCTTGTCTGTGCTCAAGGGCCCCCGCGGGGTGGCTCTGGCCTCTGCCACACCACGGACCTCTCTGTCAGGTGTCCACTTGCTCCGTGCTGCACAGCCCCTGATCGGACCACCAGGAGGGCTCTGCTCCCTGGTCTGTCTTCACCACCTGCAGGCAACAAGCAGACAGCTCTCCCCAGCTCTGCCAGGAAGGCGGCCTCAGCTCCCTGCCAAGCACTCGCCTCTGCTCGGGCAGGGAGGACTGCTCCAGGGCTGCCGCAGCGACACTGATTTGTGTGATTTTGAAAGGTGCACGTTTGCTCTGCAGCGCGCTCTCCAAATGCTCCCTGCTGCACCGGCCACAGGCGGGGGCTCCCTGGTGCTCTGGCCGCACGGACTCGGCCCTGTGGGCTGACCGAGGTCTCAGCTGGAGCGTGGCGTCTGCGGTGTGCGGCGCTGAGCTGTGCTCCCCGCCAGGTCCCAGCGTCCCTTCCCTCCCCTCTCCAGGGCGTTGGGTATGGGGCACAGGAGAGGGGACCGCGGAGTCCCTGTCGCCTCTGTGCCCGGGGCAGGATGCACACAGCAGTTTGTGATCATTGCCAGCCCCTGAAATCTGTCCCTTCACCCTCTGGTCCCTACCGGGGAAGAGCCGGTCACCACTTCCCTTCCGGAAGTTATACCTGGATCAGTTTCCCCGTGGACTCTGGAGGTGCCTGTGTGGGAAGACAGGATCCCATCTGGAGAACGAGGCGTCTGTGTGCGCCCACGAGGCCCTGGCTGCACACAGGCTGGCGGGACGCTCTTTTTACCCTTCAGCGTCGCCTTGCTCAGGGCGGCAGTGCCTGAAGGTAACACCGAGCCGGCCGCCGTGCCTTTGACCTCCGAGCCTGCTGCACCGTGCTGGTCCTGGTGGCCATAGGAGGTAGCACGCGCCACACAGAAAGCAGAACCCACTTTGAGGCATTAGGATGAGTGGACAGGGAGTCAGACGTGGTGGCGCGTGCCTGCCGCCCCATCACTCCAAAGGCTGCGGCAGGAGGATCGTCACGGGAACAAGGCCAGCCTGGGCTTCACAGTGAGTTCAACACCAGTCCGTCTCACCAAGCCAATTTAAAAAAAGTGGGCAGCGCCGCTCTTCTTGGGTCAAAGCCCAGGTTCACACTTCGTGAGCAGTGGTCACAGTAGAAAGCCCCGCCCCCCGCAGGTCCTGGCTGCTGCATCCCTGCTCCCCACTTTTGCCCTGAACTGGACTGAGAAAAGCCGTGCTGGGAACCTGAGCCTCCCCAGCCCTCCCAGCCTCAGCGCTGACCCACTGGCCCACTGCGCTGCTGACCTGGTTGGTCTAGGAGCCTGACCAAATATTGACACCCTGAGACAGGTTTCCGGCCGCTGAGCCGGTGGGGGGGCAGCCCGGCAGCTTTTCCCGCAGAAAAAATGAGCTCAGGAGGGCGGGCGGTCAGGGCAGCAACCTGAGCGGAGCCGTGAGCGCGGGGGCTGTGTGTGCTCCTGCAGCCGCTCCACGCAGCGGCTTGGAAAATATTGTGAAAGGACGCATGGCCACTGCGAGTCTGCATGTTCATATGTTTCACATTTGCCTTGCGTCGCGCCACCGCAAACCCCTCATTTGGAG